TCTGGACTTGCCATTCCCCTGCATGAATGAAAGAAATGCAAGGCATCATTCCAGGTTAAAAACAATGGATCCCCAAGATATGGATGCCATCTCGTGTTTTTCTTGTGTTTTAATGCTTTTATTTGTTCATCCCATAGAAGCCTTTCAGGGGTGTCCTTAGTCCAAATCTTGCTCTAAATTATGTACACATTGAAGCATCACCTCTGGCTGACCGTCTGAAAGTTCTATTGCCTCAGTTAACATCATCTTCTAGATTTCCTTCTTGAGAGCAATATTAGTATTACTGTTGCCTCTCTCCCTGCAAAGATTTGCATCGCTCTATCAGTTGTTCACGAGACAAGGAAGACATCTTGGAATGTGAGCTTGGTCTTGTCTTTTTTGATATGTCACTTTTTTTCAGCGACACGAGGTCTGCCCTGTAGATCTTACATGGCCCACACACTTCCTCTGAGACAATGTTTAGTAACTTACATAAATTGTGTCTCAAAGTTTGAGTGTACTGATTGCCGTCATATGTGAAGCGCCCTACACTTTCTACAAGAGCCGAATGGAGAACTTTTCCAGCGACAGTCTCAACCGTATCAGGGATTCCTTTGCATACAGAGCATTCCGTCGCAAAAGAAATTAAGGTTTTTGCATTTTCGAGAGTCAATGCCTGGTTTATCCCTACATCTGCATGGTTCACAACATGTCCGAAAACAGACGGCTTATTATGAATGTTTATAGTACCGTACCCAAGTGAAAATAAGCTCTTAACCCTAATCTGTCTGAAAAATGAACAAACCTGACTTCATTCAACTGCTGCATACTGCGTCCAATATTATAAGTAAACTTTTTCTAGCGATGCCTTAAAAGAGTATGCAGAAATTGGGCGATCTCTTAAAGATAAAGTGGAGTTATGGTCATGCAATGATCGAGTGCGTATTTGACTTCGATATCTGGCAGGTTGCGTTGTTGCAATTATAGTAGCGTATGATTGGATGGACTGTAACCTGTTCTTGTGTCCAATGCGCTGCCTGGATTTCATCTTGTGCTTTCCTTTCGCTGTGTAATTTACAGCGCAGTCCAAAACCATTACACAACGACCATCTGGCAGTTTTGATAGAAGTAATTGTATTACAACTTTCCTTTTGATTAAAGTTACATGTAAAGTTTTAAAAAACATATGTTGAGAATAACCTAATTCTTAAAAAACATCAGGGTACATGTAGATCTTTCCATTATGGGCGATGATGAGTTTAGTTGGTGTCGTTGTTGTTGGAGGTTCCTTCGTCTTCCTTCTATTTGTGGCGTTGATTGGGCGTTAGGTTGTGATTCAATTATATTATCTGTAGTGTTCATTACCTCGTTTAGCTGTGATTTGTTCAAGCTAGACTTCATCTCTTTCAGTTGCTGTCGCAAGGTGAAACCCTCTTTGGCAAGTGCAGCATTTTTAATCAGCAATTTTTTGTTGGCTTCTTTCATACTCGGATGTTTCATTTTTCATTTCCATAGCTGACTCTTCTATTTTTTCTGTGAGGTTAATTATTTGCTGCCATGCGTCCTTCGTGAGAGTCGGTGCCTTGATTTGCAGCCTCGTCATTGTCCTAAGATTTGTAGACTTGCTGCTTTGATGCTTTCCATTGTTGCCTGTTTTAATGAAATGAAAGTTACGTACATGTATGAGATTCTAATTGAAACAATCGGTATGATTTTCATTGGGGGGAAGAAAAAAAAAGCATGCATCCTCAAAGTCAAGGGATGCAAAACACGTTTTTTAAAATAAAAATAATAACCTTAAATAATGGGATAGATCATTGTGAAAATTTCCTTTTCATTTTTAAGTTGTGCTATTATCCTTAATTCTTTTGTTAACAGCGGTTCTTAAAGTTAATGATTAGTTGTGTTGATATCAATTCTAAATTTAACTAAGTTAGTCATTCGTTTTTTTAATTTGCTTTGGTGTTTTGCTCTACGGTTTGCGTTGCAGTGGCTCGCCGGTCGTTCTGGCTCGCTTGTGTTGCTCGTTACGGTAAATCGTTCAAAAATAAATTTAGGGTTCGAGTGGATTCGTTTTTTGATTTTTATGTTTAATTGTCTTAGCCTAAATGATATCAACTGACATAATTCGTCACTCACCTACAAATGATGATTATCGTGAAATATTTATTCAGAAATTTCTTTTAGAACAAATATCTCCATAAGGAGGTTTCTTCGTCTTCTTTCTTTTGTGGTGTTGATTGTGCGTTAGGTTGTGATTCAATTATATCATCTGTAGTGTTCATTACCTTGTTAAGTTCTTCCAATGCATTGCTGCATTTTTTCGTTCAGGCTAGATTTCATCTCTTTTAGTTGTGACCTGTGAACGTGAGAGGCAGTTTTGTGGTGTCCAGCCGCAACAAAGAGCTTCTATGTCCCTCATCATTGGCCTGCAGTTGCCACAAACACACCATCCTGGTTCGGTGGAAGATTTCAGTGTTTCTTTTGGTGGACAGTTTAGCAGATCTAATAACAATCCACTCTCCCTCTCCACCAAGCTCAGTAAGACATCTCTAAGACAGGAGGGCATTCAGCACTGATGACAAGACATGAATGGGCGCCGCCAGCCTTACCACCAAATCAATTTTTTTAGATTGTGGAGGTGTTTGTCGGTCAACGATGGCCTGATTGATACTTTCTATGTAGCTTTCGTTGATTTTCTCCAATTCGGCTTCACAATTGTCCGTGAAGGTGTACGATAATCCTGCCTCGTGTAGACTTTGTACAACCTAAAGAACATGTGTTATGGAAGATCTGTCCGTGATGCGTCGCCTGGCTTCTCTTGTGGCGCCGGGGGAAGGACGCAAACAATCTGGTACATGAACAATCAGGCGTTCTATGAACCCGTTGCCGACGCCTAGGGCGGTGAGGAGGTGAGCGGCTGGCCCTGGTTGGGTCGCTCCCAAAAAAGAAAAAGCTTGTCCTTATCTCACGCTTATTCTGTGTGGCATAAGTCGTCGACACCTTCTTTCCGCTGAAAATGTGACATAACGTAGCTATGTCACCGCTTGCATTCTCACCGTCGTTTTTAGCCATCTTTAACATAACGTCATGGATCTCACTGTTAATCAACATCCCGTTCCCCTGAGAGAGTCTTTGGAACAGGCCAGCAGACGTCGACTTACCAATTATAAGAGAATTGGCGTGATCGCGAGCGAGTGAGATAGCGTGTAGAGGTTCAGTTGCTCCCACTTGAATGGCCTGAGATTTACCAGTGGATGGTGGTCCAACGAACAGTATGTACACGTTCGCTTTTGTCGTCATCCCGTTTAACCGCACATCCGACGTTTCTGAGATGACATAGGCTGTCGTCGCCAGGAAGCTGTCCACCAGGTACCCCTTGCATGTACTAATAGAAAGCGCTATGTCCTTAAATAACTCCGTACCTGCTGTGGGAAGAGTTGACCATAATCAAATGGTGATGATCGAAGTCTGGCGTGCAGGTTTGACTATGTCAGAGAGTTCTGTTTAGCGACGGTTGTCATTCAAGACATGATGAACGAAGATGCGATACAATAATTATGTCTGATTAAAAAAAAAAAAGTAGTATATCAAATGATTACACACAGAAAAAGGTAAATCAATAATATCAGGATAATATATGGAGACGGGTGCGGCAGAGATTTAGTACAAATGATTATATTTCATCATACTACTGCCTTATATACTGTTTTGCCCCTAGGATACTGAATGAGAGAGGAAGTGGGTGATCTTGAACTTACTTTGATCTTTGTGTTAAGGTATATTGTTCACAGATTATTCTGCCGACAAAGAACAAAGGTTATCGCTTTTCATTGTACTGTAAGTGTCTTATCATGGCGGGTTCTAGTATCATAGGACAATAAATATTGTCTCTTTTTGTGTAGCATCTGAATGCTACTAGGATTAATGGTTCAAAAAGTGTGGGATCAATACTGTGAGTGGAGGTGACAAAAGGTAGAATGCAGATTTTTGAAAAAAAATTCATCATGAAATTTGTAACAGCTATTGGAAAGATTGAGGTATGTTTACTCATGAAACTCATAAAAGTACTCACCTGAACGCAAATGTCTTTCAACAATACATCATGATGTGATTATTGATGGATTCATGAGAGCCTGTGTGCCTGTACATAAACAAATATAAATGCACTGGTGACTTATATGAGAATAATGAATTCAATATCTTACATTATTAAAAGAAAATGTATTTCCAGCTTAAATTTATAAAAAAAACTTTCCCTATTCGTCTATACGAATCGATGAAGCAATACAGTGTCACATTGTCTTGTAGTATTTCAAAACACATAATGCACCCCATGCAAGTGAAAATAAGCTATTTTTGATAGTTCTTGAAACTTTCAACCATGCTTTGTTTCTAACCTGAAATTGACATAATATGGTGCTTTCTTCAGAAGTGTCCTGTCCAAGGCTCCTTCTGAGAGGGCCTGCTGTGCCTGCGAGCCCTTCTCTAGATATGTCTTGCCATCCTCAGGTAGCTCTAGTCTACCTGGTTCTGAACAGTAGCCTCATTCTCGGCACTGTCCCAACAGATGGATATGCTATCCCCTTCTCTCTTGTATCCATGGTCTTCTAATGTGGGGTGTGTGACCAAACTGACTGGAGCTTGGGCCCAGAGCTTATACACCCAAAGGCATCTCAGCCAGTGGCGATACAGGGCGTCGAGCGATGGAAGGATGCCCTCTTCCGAATCAGCTCGCGACCAGGTAGCCTCTCGTACAATGCCCAGGAATTTCTCATGATGATAATGGTCATCGGTGTACTGGTCGCTCGGTATGCTCTTATTTACCTTAAAAGGTGTCTTCATCGGTTTGAATGAAGCAAAATTCGTTTTGAAGTAAACGACACCAACCAACCTACTGTATAAAAGGCGAGCAGTGCCTTGGAGATCCCCCATGTTGCCACTTCACTATCCTGTAGAGTGTAGAGATATAAAAGAAGAAGAAGAAGAAGGTTCATAGACTTCATGGCCGCATGAAGACGATGACCATGATCTTTCAAGTAAATATAAGAAGTAAAAACAAATCTTAATATAGTTTTCTATGATGTGAATCCAGCCCTTTCATGATCATTAAAAATAATAGTTAACCATTAGAAATAGCAATGCAGTGCATTGTATTAACTGGTATAGTCATTGTAGTCCATGTACATATCTATTACTAGTACGAAGATAAATTCATCTTCTTTAACACAGCTGAATAAGGATAACTTCATCTTTGCCAGCACCAACCAACAATGATATATTCATCTTCATTTAACAGCTAAATGAGGATAAATTCATCTTCATTAACATGTACAGTTAAATGAAGATAAATTCCTTACAAGGCCTAATTGCATAAGCCTTGTAGTATTGATACTGACTTGAGGGGATGGAACCCCTTTCCTTCTTAGACACCTCCCACAGTCTTCTCAATTCCAAAATGTCAGTTTTCTGTGTGGAGGGCTGTTAAAAGTTCAACATGGAATTTTCCTGGTAAATCTGAAGGCAAATCTCTTGGATTAATACATCAAGATGTAATTGTTGATTGATTCCAGCTCTCCTGTCCAAGATAGGCTTACATATGTAGGAATAAATGTTGTGTAGAAACTAAATGAGTATTCTTACCGTTAATAATAATCCTCAGCGTTGATATCTCGAGTATAGAAAGAAACTGGAAGGCGAATCATGAAGAGGAAGAATAGAGCGATAAAGCGAAGTGAAGAATCAGCACGTGGAGCGCGACTAGCTAGCTAGCGAAACGCGAATATGATGAAGGCACACAACCTTACAGTTCACACTTCCCGAAATTAAATAGAAGACAAATCTAATTTGCGATTTAGTCCTCAAATAAAATGATGATGATGAAACTCGCTATTAACGTGAAAACTAATGAGAAGAAGCTTGTTGAATAATCCGAAAACGTCCTATATAAAACACGTCCGATGATGAAACTGAAGACAGGAGAAGTGAGTAAAATCCGTGTGTGGAGACTTATCCAAGTGCGCTAAAAGTGTGATGATTGGCTTATTAAAACAATAAGGTGCGGTCCGATTGGAGTAACTAAAATAACACTCTTGTTGCTGGGTGGTTCCATGGATGAAATTAACTCAGAGAATATGTAGAATGTGCAGCTGTAAATTGTTATTGTTACTGAAGCTGGCTGAACGTAAAGTACTAACAAAAGGAATGTTTAAAATGCTGGCTATGTACAATGTTGATAAACATTTGTGACCTTTGTAAAGTTCAAGTCACTACACATACAACTCTTGTACTTTTTTTTTCAAAACAATCAATCCAAAACAAATTAAGTGAGTACAAATATAAAACCATCTGGTGTGATGCATGTCCGTTTCGGAAGTGTTCTCCTTCTTCTGGGCCACCATTTCATTTCTTCTTCCTCTCTCTCCTCTTACTGATGGAACAATCAATTTCTTTTTGTTCTTTCTTTTTAGGCTTTTCTGGCTTCAGTGTCCAAAGTATTTTTAGTTCTTTTGGGATCCAATAGCGAGGCTTACATGCAACTCTTGCACTTTCTTTTTCAAAACAATCAATCAAAAACAGATCAATCGAGTATGAAAAAACAGCTTACACAACTAAGTCTAGCACATAACTGTTCAAGTTGGATATTAAAATTAAGTGACTTGTCACAAAGTTCATCACTCAAAATACTAGCACCACTCACACCTCACCATCAGTCCAATTGCTGGCCATTCCTTCAAACTCCTTTAAATTAATTTTATTTGACGCAACCTGACAAACATGTATACATGAAAACAACACATACACAGCACTAGTATCACCACTAGGCACATATACATAACAAAATAACCACACCCGGGGGAAAAGACACCGAACAACTGGGCATTACTTTGTAGTTGAGATAGGGCAATCAACACAAATTTACGAGACAAAAACCTTATTAAAGCATACTTGTTTATTCTAATTTTGAAGAAAATACCCAATTCGGGGGTAACAGGAGTGTTGTCATCTATATTTTCAAACATATCATTTTCTTGATCAGTTTGATCCCTACGCTTCCTTTCAATCCCCTTAGGAGATACCCCTTGTGTTCCTCTTGCTTGGTCAAACAAAATTCTAACTTCTTTGATCCCTTTTCTAAAGTATGGAGTTATACATCTAGACCCAAGTAAATAGGCATATTCAATGAAAACTTTTTGTCTTTGTGTCAACATGTAAATAATGTTCATAACCTCAATAATTACACATGTATCGGAAACAGATGAAGAAAATGTGTCGGTTATTATCTGAAATTGACTTGTGTATCTCTTTTGAAATAAATCATAAACAACTGCCTTTGAACCCCTTTGTGTGAGCCCATCGGGAGAGCAAATAGCTCTGGGCACAGGAACAAATTGTAGTAAACTGGATATTGGTTGTTTATGCTCTTCTGACATAGCTATTGTCCTTTTGTAACACAAAGTAATTAACTTCTTTTCAAGATCTCTTACTCGTTGCTAACATACTTGTTCTTTGGCTCTTGGACAACTTCCCTTTGCTCTTCACCGACATGTATTATGGTAATTGCACTCCTGACAAGATGTCCATATCATTAGTGATACACAGGTAATTTAGATGGTGTTTAATCGTGCAGCTAGCCTACGGCAGTGCATGTCTATTGCCGTTATCTCCCTGTAGCATTTTCCTTGCTCCCCCTCTGCCACCCTATATATCCGATATGTTGTAGACACAACAAATCTGAGGATGTCAGGAGGAATCATCCTCACCTCTGACCTGCCAGAGTGCTTGACTGCGCGCCCACTGCAATTTGTTTTGGAAAGTTCTTCTGGCGTCATTTTAGTTGTGATGAGATTCTGTGCGAAATTTGCCCTTGAACATGATTTTGCCTTGCAAATGAACAATTCCTCCTCTACCAGGGCTCATGGGGAGGGCAGGAGACATCAGACAGAAAACAATCAGCATAATGCCACGCAAGACGCCAGGTTTTACTGGTGTGCAGTGCACTTAAATGGCACATTTGCTGCCGTTTGTCTGGGACCTATTTTTATGTTGAGGCAGCAGGCATGTACCCAGTAGTTGCAGGTTTGGCTATCGCAGCCTAGCCAAGATGCCTGCTTTCCTTTTTTTTCTTTGAGGCTTTTGTCTTTCTTACTCTCGTAGATGATTTTGCATACCTGGCACTTATTTAGTGCAGGCCTCTCCAGTGCCTTTTTACTCATGGTTTTTTTCTTTTTGCCCGGGAGCCCCTGAACATTAGAAAAACTGGATGATGGGTCAGCCGTGTCGCCTCCTTTCCTCTTCCCAGAGTTTTTATGTATGTATACCAATCTGGACACATGCATGATTTTACGTTTAATTTGCTCTTTTGCTGTTTCTTGCCTCTCTTTCTCCTCTGCCCTGGTCAAGGATGTTATGTGATTAACTGAAACACATTCACTTACAGTTTTGTCATCATGATTTACATATCTAACTTTATATTTGAAGTTCTGGCGATTCACCCCTTACAAAAATATCGTGTGGTATTCCTGTGGTATACCACACAGTTGTACCACAGGAAATACCATAGAAAATACCACATGAAAATACCACAGGAAAATACCACAGGAAAAATACCACAGGAAAATATCACAAAATAATCCTGTGGTTTTTTTGCCCATTACCACAGGACAATACCACACAGAAATTACCACACAGGAGTACCACACAGCAAAACCACACATCAATCAGTACCACACAAAATTACCACAGCAATACCACACATCAGTACCACACAGCAATACCACACATCATTACCACACAACAGTACCACATAGCAGCAATACCACACAGCATTACCACACAGCAATACCACAGCAATACCACACAGCAATACCACACAGCAATACCACAGCAATACCACACAGCAGTACCACACAATAGTACCACACAGCAATACCACACAGCAATACCACAGCAATACCACACAGCAGTACCACAGCAGTACCACACAGAAATACCACACAGCAGTACCACAGCAATACCACACAGCAGTACCACAGCAATACCACACAGCAATACCACACAGCAGTACCACAGCAATACCACACAGCAGTACCACAGCAATACCACACAGCAGTACCACAGCAATACCACACAGCAATACCACAGCAATACCACACAGCAGTACCACAGCAATACCACACAGCAGTACCACAGTAGTACCACACAGCAATACCACACAGCAGTACCACAGCAATACCACACAGCAGTACCACAGCGATACCACACAGCAGTACCACAGCAATACCACACAGCAGTACCACACAGCAATACCACAGCAATACCACACAGCAGTACCACAGCAATACCACACAGCAGTACCACAGCAGTACCACACAGCAATACCACAGCAATACCACACAGCACTACCACAGCAATACCACACAGCAGTACCACAGCAATACCACACAGCAGTGGAGAATGGCATTGATGCCACAAAGCCGGCGTCTGACCCTCTGAAATGCCTTCTCGCTGTCTTGTTGTTTGGCCTCCTCTTCTGCATCAGCTTCTGGTGCATCCGCCTAAAGAAAAACACACACAAAACAGAGGGTTAAAGATGAAACCTAATCGTAACCTAACTAAATTTGGGGCAAAATTTAAAAAAACAACATACTAACCACATGCTCATTTTCAGACACGAGGGCCCGGATGCCCCGCAGCCTCACCAACCGGCCGCGCGGGACTCGGAGTTCGGCGGGTGGGTTGTCTTCCTCCTCGTTGTCCACATCGTCCTCCTCAGCCTCAGCCTCATCTGCCGGTGGAGGCACCTGGGCCTCATCTTCTTCTTGGGGATTGTGGCGTCTGAGCCAGTCTTGCACGCGGGCAGGGAAGTCATCCACTTGCCACAGGCCAAAGAAGGGGTAGGGGTTTGGGGGATCCAGGTTCGGTCGCGCTTCAATGACCCCTTCCCTCTGGAGGATGGTGAGGTAGTCGTGGATGGGGATGTCTCAAGGAAAAAAGAGGAAAACTTTGTAAAGAAATATGTCGTCTTAAAATTTAACCCTAAAGACGAAATCTAAATACATTTCACTCACTGAGGGTATCTCGAAAGAACGTCCACTTGACCCACGGGTGCCAGTACTGGTTCAGGTTCCTCCTCCTTCTCTCTTCAGGTGCGGTCAGGCACAGCGTGACTAGGACGTCGAGATCGGCGAGGTTGGGTCTCATTTCGTGCTCCTCCGCTATCCTCTCGGTCATTTTGAAGGCGGCGACGGCATCTTGGTTTTCGCTCGTGATCCGAATGAGGCTTGGCATGCTCCTGACGGACACAAATGTCCCCTAAATCTCAGCAGATTATATTCATTATTTCCACAGCAATAGCAAAATGACGGTAATTCTCACAGCAGAATCCTTTTTGCTGCGAAAAATATATCTAAATTATCTAAATTACTTGCACAGATGTTGTCCTTGTAGAAAATGTCGCAAAAATCGGCAGATTTAAATGCTCCGGGAAGCAAAGGCTTTGTAATAAAATCCTTCGGCCCAGCTAACTGCGCATCAAGACTGCAGAAGGATTTTATTGCTTTGATTTTAGATCCGCCGATATTTTACATTTTCTACAAGGACAATATCTGTGCAAGTAATTTAGATATATTTTCCATAGCAAAAAGGGTTCTGCTGAGAGAATTAAGCTACAGTCCCATATACGTCCCGGACCGTCCCGGACCATCCCGGACCCCATCCGGGGTGATCCGGGATTCGGTCCGTGTTGACACCGTGTTGGCACCGGGGTGGTCCTGGATGGTCCTGGATGGTCCTGGGCGGTCCTGGGCGGTCCGGGAGTCGACCCCGGATGTTTTTGACGGTCAAATACTGCCGGGGTGGTCCGGGACGGTCCGGGACAATAGTTTGATCCGGGGTGATCCGTGTAGCCACCGTGCTGGGTCCGGGGTCATCCGTAGTGGCGCCGGGGCGGTCCGTGTTGATCCGTGGCAGTCCGGGAGTGAGTTATTGACCGCCCAGGACCATCCAGGACCATCCAGGACCACCCCGGTGCCAACACGGTGTCAACACGGACCGAATCCCGGATCACCCCAGATGGGGTCCGGGATGGTCCGGAGTGGTCCGTGCTCGTCCGTGCTGGTCCGGCTTTATATGGGACTGGGGCTTTACTGTCATGAAATAATGGATATAATCTAAGATTTAGAGGACATTATTTTGTTCATGCAATGAAGGCATACAAATCACATCAGTCACACACACACAATGTTATGTGATGGTCCATGTCACTCAAATTCTCATACATGTTTTGCCATATTTGTCCGAGCCTCAGTTTTCTCTTTAATTTTAATTTCCAATTACTACTCAATTACTGGGAAAACTAAATTGTATCATTACACATGTCTGGACTACTGTGATTGATAAAGGTTACCCCACTTGATTTTTTTTTTTTTTTAATATCGGTATCGGTTCCACTTTTAAACCTATATCGGCCGATACCGATATGATAAAAAAAGTACCCGATATGCCGATATGATATTGAAACAACACTAAAATTTGTTCATCTTCTTTTGGGGGAATATGCACTCTATAAATGAGGGATAAATTAGTAGCAAGTTTGTGCCGGCAAGTTCAGAGAATTAAGGCAAAGTTAACTGGCAAGATTTTCATTTTTCAAGTGTACGAGTCATTAACGCTTGAAGTTGATGGTATTCAGTGCTTTTAGTATATTACTTAAGGAGGAAAACTATCTTCAGAAGAGTATGCAATAATAATTTTTTTTTTTAAAGCTGCACCAGAACCCATGCGTACAACCTGGAGGGAGGGGGGGGGGGGGTGTATTTCTCATGCATGGTATCAATATTCCCTGGAAATCTTTTCTTTCTCTTTTTGTATTTTATTGTTTTGTGAATTTCTTGTTTATTTCTGTTCATGAAATGCCAAAAAAGTGTGACATTTTCTCCAAGAAAATTCACTTTTTTTCCCTTTAGAAATTGACTTTCAGGATAAATTAAAAGTAAAACAAAAATTGTTTTAAGACAAAAGAAAAAAATGCATGTAAAAACTCCAAATGTGAGATACTTTTTAAAGTGCCTAGTTGGTTTAAGAGACATCCTAATTTGCAAACTGAAAGCCCTGATGTCGTTTTCTAAAAAAAATGCAATACAAATCTAACAAAGATATGTGGAAATATTGTGGGAAAGGGGGGAGCCTCCCTCCCCAGGCTTGTGATGGGCATATTTACTTTGTAAGGGACTGCTTCTTGAGCAGCTTCCTCTCATTTGAAAGCTTGTTCCTTGCAGCTTCTTTCAAAGTCTTCATGTCTGTGTCTGGGTATTGTGCAGCCACGTTTTCTGTAGAACAAGAGAAGGGTGAAAACATGGACATATACACTTAGAAGGAAATGAAAGTTAGTCATGTTCAACAATTTTACAAGAACTGAAAGCACAATAGAAACCTTTGATAACGTCATTAAACCCATGTTTGTATACCTCTGTGGAAAGAACCATGAAATAACCCATTTATGAATTTACTGTACACAACATATGAGAGGAGCAGCTCACAATATCGTCACAAAATGAAAACTTTATAAACATCCGTAACATCGTCATTCTTTGACGGATTGTCCTCAAATTTATGTGTCTGTCATTATCCTGCTTCGATTAAAATTAATTTCATTTCAGGGTGGACTTCCCCTTTACAAATGTAAGCCCAATGCCATGAATTTGATTTAATAGAATGACATTTAGTCAATTTCCCATTTTCACATTTTCTACATGTCTTTTGGGTATGCTCAAAAAGGTAGGAAAAATTACACCCTATTCATTATGTTTAAGTAGACATGCAAAGAAAATTGCAACTATGCACAAATTATATATAATGTTTATGCTAGAAGCTTGGAAATGCCAAATGTGTAAGACTTTTGCTCATTACATATCGGGGAATGCAAAAAAAGCAAAGAGAAAATTCAAAAAATGACTGCAGTAATGCGAGCACTTTGGAGGAATTCGGGAAAATTTGGTGATGTTTTTATTGACGTCATGACATAGTCCAATCTAATGGTAGCAGACGACGTGTCATAGCTCAAGCAAAGATCATAAGTGCATTCATTGCTACTGAGGAACAGGTTTAATGTACTTCAAATTTGGCTAATTGTGATAATGTTGGAGGAAAAGGTGGCACTGAACCCTGCTATACCAATGCCCAGCATAGAAACATTCACTGGAAGGGCATATTTTAGTTTTTGGAAGGCAAGTGTCGTCGTATTTTTGAGTTTGAAAAGCCCACCTAACAATCGTGAATAGAGGTGGGGCTGCATGCATAACTGAAATGGTAGCAAAGCATAGCTAATGCTGAAAATGATTTTGGCTGAACTGTTTGTGGCGGGCAATTGCATGAGAGACATGGAATTTCACCTTTTATTTTATAGATTGTCTTTACTGTGGATGTTTTTAAAGCAGATCATTCAAATAACGGGGGAACATGTTACATTCTCTTCGCATTGGTATGACATATATCCTGCTAAATATCAATAAAACTCTCACTTTGGCAAACAAGTACACCAGAGAATCTGTACATTGTCTATAGGATGTAGTCTGCTATTGCTAGCTGTGTCTGTAGAGTGACGTCACAAATATCAGCCGTGTTCGGCGAGTTTCGGAAGGTTTTTCCAATGGGAAGGGGGGTGGCATTTATTCCAATTTTTCTCGATTTGTGTTTTACAAATCTTTTCCGTGAGGTCGGAAATAGTAATACTGGGGTTGCCATAATCTCTTTTTGCAATTTCATGAAAAATTATTCATGTTCAGTTTCTTTGCATGGGAACTTTAATTTCTTCTGAGTGATGAATAATATGAGGCCTGATTTCACAAAAAAATAATTATTTTGAAGCAAGGTACAAATCAAATCTATTAATAAACTTACTGAACAGCTCTTCCATTTTTTGTTTATTTATTTGTGGACGTGCCTCCTGTTGTATGTCCACTTGGAACTACATTAACATGAGATATGATATGTAAATACCACGCCGAGCTAGGCGGAAGGATACAGGAATAAATGGTCTTACAATATGGCTACTAATCAGTAACTACATCGTCTGCCAGACTATATCATTTCAGGGAGACGCGCCATATTTAATGCGTTGCAACTCGATAAGTCCAACAAAACCAGTCCGTCTTAATCGTTACCTAGGCTACGAGTGTTCACAGTATGTGATCAAAATAAGTTCTCACACAAGACACGCATCAATAATTGTCAATTGGCCGAAAGTTATTTGCATAAATAGAAATATGCCCAGGTATTAGCAGTAATTCACCTATTGGTCGGAACTACTTGAATGCTGCTCACATCAAATTAGCAGGCAAAATCAGTTACGAGCATACATGTACACTTTATCGTCTAACAATAAGTACACAAATTGTCACAATATACCTGAATACTTGGACTATTTATTAACTTTTCTGAACCTGAAACCCAACTCATCAACTGATCTTTCATTTGGTCCAGACTAGGTCCCGTTTAGGTATTTTGGGATTTCCGTATAGCTAGGCTAAAATATAGTGGCCTACACTCTGCACTATAATTATACCTCTGTAATCTACGTCTACTGTAGATGTGTACTTAGTCTACCAAAAAAAAACTACAAGAACAGAGTTTAAAGCACTGATATGAGCACCAGCAGACTTCGATCTAAATCTAGACTTCGATCTAGTCTAGTCTAGTTACAATTGAGAATGATGATCCAGGTCAAGAGCTAAAGTCAGACCTGGATCCCTAACTGTTACTCAGTCCCAGATTTAGACTCTCACACAGTAGATATCTCCTCGGCACAGGTGCTGAACTGAAATGCAAACCCAACTGCTAGTGTTAGACCAGGTTTAGATTAAACCCTTATATAAATCTAGACCGTTATAGGTCTAGACTAGAGCACCGGTCTAAGTCTGAGTCACACATGTATTCAGTAGTGCCTGGCTTGGGCCAGATGATATCCTTGAGTCTACTAGAAATTAGACTCCTTATCTTGGACTTTACAAGGTCAAGGATTTTTAGACTAGGTCTAGGTCTACTTGTAGAGTCTAACAAAGTTTAATCTAGACTAGATCTAAGTTATAAGATATAGGGTCTAGATTCTAGTCACTCAACAAAAGCAAAACATTCACAATCACATCATGATTAATTGAATTATCAGACAGTAAACTTATCACAGGATACCTCCCTGTAATCTGTTCTTATTGTCATTTGTTATTTTGTTCAGGATGTTCCAGATGTAGGCCCTAGTATAATAACAAAGTCAGATTTAGAGCCTTGTCTTTCTTGAATTGTCTTGTCACAAATGTCGAATCACTTCACAAAGACACAACCACAGCTTCATTTGCTTGTGCGATGTCGCATGCACGGCGATGGGAGCTGGAACCGATAATGGATCAGGCCTCGATCAGTCCTGTTGTCTATGCGATGATGAAGCGTTGGATCGGTGATCTGGTCCAAAATATAGATAGGTCCAGGCCTAGACTCTAGACGATTACAAAGTCCAAGGCGATGCTTGTACTTGTAGATTCACGCCGACGTCGATCTAAGAGCTGGAACCGATAATGGATCAGGCCGACGTCGATCTAAGGTAGTTGTTGCTAGCTGCTGCTGAGATTATTTTGACTTTGAGTTTGATGAAAGCAGGTCGCCTCCTCGTCCGCGTTGATCACGGATAAGAAAACCGATGGGCGCTGTTCCAATCACTGTCGTTATATCTGCTCTCTCGGTCTGTTGTGTGTAGCGATCAGTGCTACACAACGTCCTCGTCCGCGTTGATCACGGATAAGAAAACCGATGGACGCTGTTCCAATCACTGCCGTTACATCTCCTCTCTCGGTCTGTTGTGTGTAGCGATCAGTGCTGCTACATGCACATTATGCGGGGAAGACAGTTCCCAGTGCTATTCGGCATTAGCGGAGGCTCGGTGGCTCGTACCCGGGTAATGCAGACGATAGGTTGTGGGATGCAGTGCGGGAACATCGATGTTGGCAATAATCGTCGACGACCAAACTTCTACTTAGCAGCTAGTTCTCATTTCTTAGTCCAAGTCGAGGAAAACTGCGGTAGCTAATGTCCGATTATCGAATAATAGCATGGTATTCTCCTTACTGCTGCCACCATGTTGTAATATGTTATATGACTCGGTGAAATGATATAGTCTGGCAGACGATGTAGTTACTGATTAGTAGCCATATTGTAAGACCATTTATTCCTAAGACCATTTATTTCTACAGCAAGTGAAAGAATTCACTCATGCTGGTTGGCCTGCAACTATTCAGGAACTTCCAAACGATTTGCGCCCATTCTGGCCATTTCGTGATGAACTAGGCATGTCTGGAGGTGTCCTCTTCAAAGGCAGGCAGGTGATCATTCCCCAATCTATGAGACAAGATATCCTTCAGCAACTGCACAAAGGCCATCCGGGCATCGAGAAGATGAGACTCCTAGCGCGCCAGTCGGTTTACTGGCCAAACATAAATCGCCAGATTGACGAAAGTGTCAGATTGTGCAACCAATGCCAGGAAAGGATGCCTGAGCAGAGAAGGGAACCACTCCTTCCTCATGAAATCCCTATCACACCTTGGACCAAAGTAGGCATGGACCTGTTTGAGTTGAATATGGTTCAGTATCTTCTTATAGTCGATTATCACTCGAAATTCCCAGTCGTACAGCGGTTGACTTCCACAACGAGTGCAAGTGTGGCGAATGCTGTAACTGGCATATTTGGCCTTCTGGGATCTCCTACAGAGATTATGTCAGACAATGGTCCACAATTCATCGGTGCAGCTTTTCAGCAAATGTGCAAGGAATGGGGAATTACGCATCAGACCTCCTCACCAAGGTACCCCCAGTCAAACGGACAAATAGAGCGTACGGTCCGAACAGTGAAAGAGATCATACGGAAAACACAGACAACTGGAGAAAGTACAGCAGCAGCTCTACTAAACCTACGATGTACTCCAGTGGATGCCCATCTTCCATCCCCAGCCGAAATGATGTTCGGCCGCCAAGTCCGAACACTACTTCCTGCTAACCTTGATTCGAACACAACATATCAAGGACAAAAGAACCAGGAACGTTTGGAGCAGCGCAGGGGACGCATGAAGACAGACTACGATGCAGTTGGAAGCAAGCAAGAGCTCCAGCCACTCAGAGTAGGACAGAAAGTCCGCTTCCTGGACAAAGAATCCCACACTTGGATTCCAGCTGAGGTGACAAACTTATGTAATGATCTACAGGCCAGGTCGTACATAGTCACAACCCCAAATGGCACGCGACTCAGAAGGAATAGGGTACACTTGAGAGATGTCCCACAAATGCCTCGTCTGGCAGAGCCAACTAAAGATGCGCGCCTAGCTAACACACCTACCCCAATGAACAAAAAAATTGCAGACGGACTTGACCATGACCAGTCACTAGACCACCAGACAGGATCCGGGACAGACCCTTACAGAACACGTTCTGGACGCATTAGTAATAAACCTGTCCGTTATCGTTAAACACTACCAAAAACAATTTGAAAGAAGAATTAAAACACAAAAAGTGACAGACTATATAGATTGAACAAAGGTTCCAGTTTATAATTAGAATCTCACATAAAGACACTTCGTGTATATTGGATAATAACCAAAAAAATGTTTACTTATTCATAGCAACAACAACAACAACAATAACAAAAAAAAAGAAAAAGGAGAAGAGAGAAATAGCATACAATGATGCTAATGTAAAGAAATGTGCCCAATGGTATCTTTATGTTAGATAATCAAGCAACATAACTTTCTTGAATACAGTGTTTTGTGTTGAGTTATTATAAATGTTTTAAGAATATGAGAACAAAGTTGAATATATGTTCTAAAGTTTCCATAGAGTTGTTCAGTAGCTCTTCCCAGCAAAGTTCTTTGTATGAGCAAATTTTAAACAATGTTTTGCTTATAAACTAGTATTACAGTATTTTGGTTGTAAATATATGTAAGTACAATTTACTTCTAAATGGCCAAGTTTGGATTAGCAAATAAGAAGTTGGAAATGTCAATATAGAAAAAAAAAAACTGTATAGGCATGTGTTTGCTGATGTATATGTAACCGCATAGTTTTATTTTTTATCATTTGGTTTTAGGTATTCCACGTATTAATCTCTCAAAAAAGGACTACTTTATGGATCTAAAGTAAGGTTGCGAATTTAGGTTCTTATGAATCATAAACATATTCCTTAATTGTTACTTGGCAATCAGTCGGGCATATGTTAAAGTATTTTTAAGGTATTGGTATTTGCAAAATATTTGCTTGCAGGTGTTTGGAGTTTCAAGAGGTTTTATGATTAACTGTTATAACTTTTCTTCGTTATTCATTTAAAAAAAAATCTATTGTGAGGGAGATGTTGTATGTCCACTTGGAACTACATTAACATGAGATATGATATGTAAATACCACGCCGAGCTAGGCGGAAGGATACAGGAATAAATGGTCTTACAATATGGCTACTAATCAGTAACTACATCGTCTGCCAGACTATATCATTTCACCGAGTCATATAACACATACATGCCAACATTTGAAAATCAGAAATCTGTACACTATGTGCGCGAAGCGCACATCACGAGCGCGAAGTCCTTTTAGCCGGGGTCCAGGGCCCGCTTTAGGGCCCTGGAAGCTCTGGGTTTCCAGATGCTCTCTGGTGCAATCTGAGCCTATTTTAGGGACCATTTCCCCTAAAATTCAACCCAAGTTTATGGGTAATTTTTGTGTCATACCAAACAAAAAAGTGATTGAAGTGAATTCCACACTTTAATTTATCCTTGGCAGAGGCAGAGCAGATAATAGACATAGATTTAATTAGCCACTCATGCAGAGTGATGCATTTAAGTCTAGTTACTTTTTAAATAATTATACATGACATAGATCTATGCATAAAATGAGACTGGCAATAATGGTATTCAACTTTCCAGACAACAGTCAACAATCCAAAATTATTGTAACTCATTGAGCTGCATGTAAATGAGGTTGTCAAAATCAATGTCAGCAGAACAAGACTCCACCACTGATCTTTAGATCTTGCCGACAATAAATGCAGTATACATAATGCAGAGATGCCAACCCTATATGATGGCTGTCAGTAACATTTACCATATTTGTCCGTAACAAATGGGGGTCTTTCCGGAACGCAAGACACCGCAGCATAATTTTCGCGCAAAACGTACACAAACACCCAATCACTCTTACTGCATTTCGAACCTACCATTTTTAAGTCCAAAATAAAGATGTGCATAAAAACGTTTTTAAAAATCTGTTTCCAGTCAAAGGATCTCCTCCTTGGGTACTCGCTCTTTTGAGTGAATCCATGATAATATTCAGGAAGAAAACACCTCGTTCAAGCGTCGAATGGCAAATTCGAATCCACAGTCAAACGGCAGAACTCGTATTCTACACACGTACACTCACGATCACCAGTACGGTACCACAGACACTCCAGCCCAGGCCGCTAGGCCCGGCGTTCATGAACAACAACACACCGTATATCGCACTTGCAATGTGCCCACTGAATCACCGAAGTCTTCGCTACTATACTTTGAATGGGTATTGCGGGCGCCGCGCGCACGATCATCTACCACCATGCTCCCCCCAAAATGCACGACCGCACACTAGTATCAAAACAGTAATAACGGCGGCCGTGTTGTTTCGGAATTAAACAAGATGGCGGCGGACGGACCATGTGCGTGAAAGTGCCTATCCAGTGTAGTCAATGCTATGTATGGAAAGCCAATTTCCCCAAAATCGGAACGTTCCGTTTTTTAGGGCTATAAAAACTTCAAAAACGGAACAGTTCCGTTAAAATCGGAACGGTTGGCATGTCTGTATAACATATTACAACACCTCCTGCCCTGCGTTGGTATTCGATGCCCCCCCCCCCCCCCCTGTAAGGGAATGGCTTGCCATTTCCTGCCTCGTAAATGTTCTGGTCATTAAGTCCTGCAAGTATTTTGAGGCATTGTTGGTGGCACTTTTTCTTGCTTTTTTGGAGTCATACTTCGGAGAGACGGGATCCTGCATTAAATTAAAAAAAAATCAAAGGGGTATTCATTAGTGCTGGTCGATATTTGATTTGAAGGTTAACCGATTATCGTCAGTAAAATATCGTCGATAACACGATATATCGTGGAGCCGGAAAACGGCTTCACGTTCACGTGCGTGCATGTGTGTATGCATGTGTTTGTGTGTGTATACGGACTACTGAATGTATTATATGACAAGTGCAGTGTGAGTGTATACTATACACTCACACTGCACTTGCCATAATACAGTCAGTACACACACAAACACACAAGTCCCGCTGCTCAATGAATAACACGTGTCTGGACTCTGGAACTCATGCATAATATCAACGATATTTGGGTCATATCGTGTCTCCGCGATATATCGAAATAATCATGAGATCATAATCGCGTATTCGATATTATTTTCATATCGCCTAATTTAGATAATATCGAAATACCGCCCAGCACTATAGTATTCATTTTAATACTGCACTTAGACCAATTGCAAATAGACAATTAGATGTATAAAAAAAAAAAAATTTAAAAATCAATTGGCCCACCCATGAGAACTCTGCAGTTGACAGCGCAACCGCAGCAAAAAAAAAAAAAAAAAAAATCCCAGAATGGTGTAAATGGATCATATCAATTACAAAAAAAATATACTAGAGTTCATAACCATGCTCAATCAATAATCGCATTACAAATTACCCTTCAATTAACAATAACAGTAAGTTCTAAAGATAACATAAGGGAAAAATATCTTTAAAAATTAAACTTACACAGTGAGTAATCAATTTGGAAGATGGGGACGGTGATGAGTTGGAAGATGTCGGGGAGTTGGAGGACTGACGGACGTTCTGCTTGATGTTTTTCATCTCCTGCAGAAGTGCTGGTAGCTCTACATGAGAAAAAAAGGAAACAATTAAAATATGAACTCAATTTTGACATGGGTATGACGATTGAGGATTCAGGCTTACGTTCCTCGCAACTATCTGGGAAGAAATCACATTTGATTTCTTTCTTGCTTTATTTCGCTTCTCAGTAACATCGTCCTGGAATTGGTGTATGTTTTCTTCGACTGTAGCGGTGAATAATAAGTCATCCTAATGCATATGTCCTCTCCAAACACCTCCTCATCCGCCATAACTTCAACAAAGCCCTTGCACGAAAATTACACAAAATCCTGTGGCATCTAGTTTGGCTTAGCTCGACACATAATAAGTATTATCCTTCTGTAACCGCCCACCGAGGGGCTAAGAACTCCAGCTTGTCGATCGGGTAGTTCTTCTCACTATTGGATAAGCCACGGCTGCCTTATTATTTCAACATTATACAAGTTTGATACTGCTTTCAGTACGAGCTCGTGTGTCCATACCTCGTCTTTGCTCATCGCTATAAGGTAATTTTCCCAGTATTGGTTGGGAATCCATGTACTAATACGAGAGCCACATGCAGTATATTAATTTGTCTCCAGATATTCAATTACTTGAGCCCTTAATTGTTCATGATTAATTTGAACATTCCTGGTCAATCCTGGTTGGTCCGCCAGAGCATGAAACTTACAGTTCCTATATCCCCTGGGGTTCTGGGTTCTCGATACTGTTAGCCTGCACTGGCAATGTTAGAATCAAGATTCCTGTGAACACTGACCTGTGAACGTGAGAGGCGGTTTTAATAGTAGTCCACTCTCCCTCTCCACCACACCCAGTAGGACGTCTCTGCATCTAGTGATATCCAACTCCAGTATGATATTCTGAAATTAAAAAAATTAAATGTAGTATTTACCTTTTCCGCAATACCAGCTACTTAACGGTGTCGCTCATTATTTATATTAGGTTAACGGTTGTAACTGAACTTAAGCATTTCCAGAACTATTTTGCTTACACTTGAAACATTTGCATAGGAAACATCCTTTCCAAGAAGGTTCCAAACACATATTCGAACAAAGGGAAAGGACTCAATTTTGCCTTAATTGAGAAACAAAATCTTATCTCTTTGTGCGGTCAACTGAGCTATTTCTGTGTTCAAACTTACATTGGCATAAAGTAAAGCGTCCATTGTTTCATTCTGCTTTTTCACAGTTTGGTGAAGCTAATGAATTTCCTTCTCCAGCGAGGTTGTATAGGTTTCCGTCCATTGTTGAGGTTCCTCATCTGATCTGTCTTGGCCATTTTAAAAGACAGCTTGAAGTCACTTATCAGGGCTCTCTCGCTCTCTAACGATATAACTTTTCAACTCCTCCAAACCCCGCCTCATTCTCAGGATCTCCATAAATCTTTTTCATGTACTCGTCCATCCTCACTTTCTCACCAGTGACCATTCCAGAACCATCATCAATCTCAAAAATGATCAATCATCCCATTTTCCATCACTTATAACTATAAAACAACTGGAAAAAACAAACACACAAGGTCAGAATAATTCTTTTCAGTTTAACGCAAACAATGTATTAAACATTAAACCAACAT